TGTATACAAAACATAACTTTATTTTTTTCTCAGAAGAACATTTACACTTGCTTAAATTCCTATAAGTCTCTTTCATGTTCAAATTTGAGAAACTTGTATCAGTGCGTTAACAATTTTCTAATGTATTATATACAATTTATTTTGCTTTGCTACATGGCACATTAAAGATAATATTACACAACAGTTGTGCTGAGATAGAATCCATTGTTTTGCACAATATTGGGCAATCTAATTTAAAATATATACAACATATTCAAAATCATATAATTAATATTTTTCTCATATGCATATCTACATCTGTCAGGCTACTAGCTTCAGCATGAAGAATATCATTGAGTATTGCAATTCAGGCATCTTTCCTCCCCACCACCATCCCCTCACACTCACCTGCTTTTTCCCCTTGTTCCCATTCTGACGGCACTGATTGGTGGCTTGGAATAACGCACGAGAACAATGTTCCATTACATCCCCTAAATATTAATTTTCATGCTTTAACTGAATGACTTTTAGTGGCTAGTTAGATGCAAAAACCATCAGGGCTTAGCCAGCTCTTGTACAAAAGCCTGCACTTTCAGCAAGTCACTGGATAGTGCCCAAAGGTAGGAAGCTTGGCAGTTTATTTTCCTTTGCTCCCTCCATTGCCAAAGGACCCTGAGACCAATTGAAGACACTTCCGACCTCAGCTGAAATTAGCTAATTATCTCCCGATTAAGACATAATCAAATTTGACCATTGCATGGATTCGTACTGCCTTTAGTAGAGTGAATTTGGTGACTCGTCCTGTAATCACGGTCACCCATGCTCGCCTATTGCCCAATGGTGAACTAATGGATAAGGGGTAGCAGTGAACAGATAAGGGGAGAAGATTTAAAACAAAGATGCAGAGAAATTAGTTCTCTCAAAGGGTTGTGAATCTGTGGAATTCACTACCAGTGTTGTGAATGCTAAGTAAATTTGAGAAGATAGACATATTTTTAACCAGTAAAAGGTTGAAGGTTAATGGAGAGTGGGCAGGAAAATGAAGTTGTGGCCGAGATAAGATCAACCATGATCGTATCGAATGGTGGAGCAGGCTCAAGGGGCTGAATTGCCTACTCCTGCTCCTAGTTCTTACATTCTTAGTGACCATCATTTTAGTCCTGGTGGGGTGTCTTTGCGGTCAAGGTGGTTTTAAGATGATGTGCTTGCCAATGATACTTCAGAATAAAGCCTCGTGTCTACACACTTTATGGTTCAGTGGTTTGCACTTCTGGCTCAGAGCTAGGGCCCAGCTTCGATTCCATCCTCAGGGGACAGTCTGTGTGGAATTTGCACATTCTCCCTGTGTCTGCATGGGTTTCCTCTGGGTGCTCCCACAGTCCAAAGATGTGCAGGTTAGATGGATTGGCCATGGGAAATGCAGGGTAACAGGGATAGCGTAGGGGTGTGGGTCTGGGTGGGCTGCTCTTCGGTACGTTGGTGTGGACCCATTGGGCAGAATGACCTGCTTCCACCCATAGGGGATTCTATGATTCTATAATGCTAAGCCAAGTAGATTCACAGTGCTCTAGGACAGCCTTCCCTAAAAAAAACATTGAAAGCAGGTTTGGTGGGATTGACATAAATTGGATCTGCCAAACTTCTTACACAATGGGAGATGGTGGCATACTGATATTGTCAGTGACCTGGTAATCCTGGAGCCCAGACAAATGTTCTGGGGACATGGGCTTAAATCCCACCATGGCAGCTGGTAAATTCAAATTCAGTTAATTAACAAAGAATGAATTAAAGGCTAATCTCAGTGATGGTGACAAACCATGAAATTATCATCAACTGCCATTAAAAACCCATCTGGTTCACTAATGTCCTTTAGAGAAAGAAATCTGCTGCTATCCTTGCTAAGTCTGACCTGTATGTGACTCTGGACAGACATGGTAGTTAACTCTTAACTGCCCCAGCAATGGCCCAGAGAGGCAATTAGGGATGGGCAACCCTGGTCAAAATTGCCCACAACTCCAGCTAAGTATAGTGGTCCTTTCTTGACAAGAACCAGGAAGCTTACCAATGATTCCATACTGGGGGTCCTGATGGCTTTAACTGCTTAAGTTCTTGCAAAACATTTTGTATTCTCCAACACATTGAGCTTTGTATAATGTCACCCTGTGCTTGAACTATCATGGAGAGGGTGTGCTCTCTTCTGTGTTTGTAAATTTTTCTATAGTTTAGTTTGGAGATTCTTAAGCCTTGTAATGGGTTTTTAATGTATGTCGGGCACCTGCTAATCAAAAAAAAGAAACAAAGAAGTTCCAAAGCACATCATGTTGTGCCCTCAGCCATAGGGGATACAAAGACCTTTCTCATCACTTGTTGCAAATGGGGAAAATGTTCAAACACAAGTTTGTTTCAATTGATTTTTGAAAGCAAACAAGTTTTGTCTAATTTATTAACAATATAAAGAAACAGAATTGAAATTAATACTAGAAATTATGTACAAAAATTTCCTAAGAATCACTTGGACAGTTTGTGATAATCCTGATGAAACTAACTCCACCATCAATGGCATGGTTTCCAGTCATTATGTTCTGTGCTTTGGAATTTTTGCCACTTCACTTACTTTTCCACTCTCCGTTATAGGATTATCTAAGTCCAAGCTGTTGGTGCTTTGCAGAAAAAGTAAAGGTCAAAGAGGTCCTCCAAAGGTGTCAAACAGGTGAGCTACCCAGAACCAGCAAGTGTCATAAAGTTACTAAAAAGATTTTTGGTTTATTCAGTTTTATTACAGAGAATTATGCCTTACAAAAATTAAAACAAGGCCTCCAAAATTAATTTCAAAATGCTGCCTCCACTAATGTTTCAAACATTTTCACATCCATCTTTTTAACTCGACCCCCTTTTCCTCCGCTGTAGGTTTTCATCTGAATGTATTAAATAAGTCATCCTGGGATACAGTTTATGGTGACAGCAGTCATCAGTTACCTCTCAATGGAAATCCGCTAAGTGGGAGCCAAGGCAATGTGTGTTTAGTTTGGCTGTTCCATTCTGAAGAGAATTATTTGCAAGTCCCACCACATCCTTGCCTGTTGTCCTCAAAAAACAAGATGTTTCCAGTGGTGGAGGCAATTTCAGTTATTTGATTTACAAGAGTTTGAGTGGATTGCTCGAACCTAGCTGTCCTAATAATACTACTCCTTTTTGGAGCCATTTCCAGTAATGTACAACTTTTCCTGACGATTTCAACAAAATAAATATATATGTAAGCTTGGAAAAATCTCCTAGGTGCTAAGCATGACTGTATGAAGTTTCATAAGAAATCATGCATACAATCCAGTGATATTTCAAAGCAGATTGACTTCCCAAAACTAGTTAAACAGGTAAAAGTAAAAGCAGCAGAATGGAAAGCTCAGGGGAAAGGAGTCAAGAATGCATGAGTGTCAGCTGCTTCCTTGATAGTTTTTGGACTGATTATAAAGCCAGTGTGTCTTTGATCAATCTCCTCATAGTAGTGCTAACGGATGTCCCAAGAGAATCAGTGATCTGGTAGCTTATTTTGTACAGGTACGGCTGCACATCCCTCAGGCTCGTGTCAAAAACATTGTCCACCTCTGACTGCGTAGGCATTTTGGGCAGGTACTCATGTCGGTTCATGACCTCAATGATATTGATTATCTTCTCGCCTAGTTTTTCGCCCACCTTCTCACGGCAGATCTGCCTCTCCTGCTCATTGGCCAGGTTCACCACGTTGAGTTTGAACGCCCACACCTCCCACGGAATGCATTCATCTGAGAATGGCCAGCGTGATTTCTTCTTCTGGTAGAACTCTAGGGAGATTTGACCACTCCCATCACTTCCAGAATTACGAAGGGCATCCTATCGTTAAAGGAGAAAAATGGCATGAGACAGATGAGGGGTGAGATCCATTGCTCCACAATATCAACCAAATATAATTGCTACCTTGGTGTATGACTGCACAATTCCTGAAATTAAGTTCATGGGGGATTCGGAACCTTGTAGACCTTCCAGGTTGGAATTTTTTCATGTTTAGATCTCATCCAGTATTTGGGACACATTTTGGCCATGTACTCTTAGTAAGTGGGATGAGAGCCAGTGATCAAACATCCAACTGATGCTGAAGTGTCAGCATTCTGTGCACTTACATGATAAGTTTCAGGTTTTTTCTTCTCAATTCCTGATGCAACTGTGTTTTTAATCTGAGCTGCCAGGAGGATGTCCTCATTTAAGTTTTGAATACCAAACTTTGGGGAATTATCCAGCTCATGTAGGGAACCGAATGCAGCTTAAATTGATAGGAATTCCAGAGTTTAACAAGTTAAATTTTGAGAAAAGCTTTATACAAGAACATAAGAAACAGGAGCAGGTGAGGGCCATCTGGCCTGTCGAGCCTGCTCCGACATTCAATAAGATCATGGCTGATCTTTTCATGGACTCAGCTCCACTTAGCCGCCTGCTCACTATAACCCTTAATTCCTTTACTGTTCAAAAATCTATCTATCTTTGCCTTAAAAACATTCAATGAGGTAGCCTCAACTGCTTCACTGGGAATTCCATAGATTTGCAACCCTTTGTGTGAAGAAGATCCTCCTCAACTCAGTGCTAAATCTGCTTCCCCTTATTTTGAGGCTATGCGCCCCCTCGTTCTCGTTTCGCCCACCTGTGGAAACAACCTCCCTAGTTTTATTTTATCTATTCCCTTCATAATTTTAAATGCTTCCATAAGATCCTCCCTTATTCTTCTAAATTCCAATGAGCATAGTCTCAGTCGACTCAATCTCTCCTCATAAGCCTTTTATTTGAGACAACAAGGTGCAGAGCTGGATGAACACAGCAGGCCGAGCAGAAAGGCTGACATTTCGGGCCTAGACCCTTCATCAGAAATGGGGGAGGGGAAGGGGGTTCTGAAATAAATAGGGAGACAGGGGGAGGCGGATAGAAGATGGATAGAGGAGAGGATAGGTGGAGAGGAAACAGACAGGTTGAAGAGGTGGGGATGGAGCCAGTAAAGGTGAGTGTAGGTGGGGAGTTAGGGAGGGGCTAGGTCAGTCCAGGGAGGACGGACAGGTCAAGGGGGTGGGATGAGATTAGTAGGTAGGAGATGGGGGTGCGGCTTGAGGTGGGAGGAGGGGATAGGTGGGAGGAAGAACAGGTTAGGGAGGTGGGGACGAGCTGGACTGGTTTTGGGATGCGGTAGGGGGAGGGGAGATTTTGAAGCTTGTGAAATCCACATTGATACCATTGGGCTGCAGGGTTCCCAAGCGGAATATGAGTTGCTGTTCCTGAAACCTTCGGGTGGCATCGTTGTGGCACTGCAGGAGGCCCAGGATGGATATGTTGTCTGCGGAATGGGAGGGGGAGTTGAAATGGTTCGCGACTGGGAGGTGCAGTTGTTTGTTGCGAACAGAGCGTAGGTGTTCCGCAAAGCGGTCCCCGAGCCTCCGCTTGGTTTCCCCGATGTACAGGAGGCCACAACGGGTACAGCGGATGCAGTATACCACATTGGCAAATGTGCAGGTGAACATCTGCTTGATTGGAAAGTCTTCTTGGGGCCTGGGATGGGGGTGAGGGAGGAGGTATAGGGGCAGGTGTAGCACTTCCTGCAGTTGCAGGGAAAAGTGCCGGGTGTGGTGGGGCTGGAGGGGAGTGTGGAGCGGACAAGGGAGTCACGGAGAGAGTGGTCCCTCCGGAAGGCAGCTAAGGGTGGGGAGGGAAAGATGTCTTTGGTGGTGGGGTCGGATTGCAGATGGCGGAAGTGTCGGAGGATGGTGCCCAGCCTTTTATTTGTTTATCTTTGAATTTTGAAGGTTTGGGATTGAGGTCTTTAAAATGATAAAATGAATTGAGAAGGTAGATACAGAAAAATTTCTTTTCCAGAAGCAAGTCCCAAACCAGGAGACTAATGTTAAAGTTTAAGATAAACCATTCGAGTTAGTAACCAATTTTTCACACAGACGGTTGTGTGATTTCTGAAATATTTTCCTCAAGCAGCTACAGAGAGGTACATTTCAGTCATTTAGGGAATATGGAGAAAATGCAGGTCTATGGAGCCGAACTATATTCTAATTGAATGCTGGAAACAGACTAATGGCTAATTAGCTTACTTGTGCTCATAGAGAAAAATCCTATCTCTTGAGGGATAGGAGGAAATTGAGATAAGGGCAAGTAATTCTGCATCAGTCACAGTCAACTCCTAGCACTCATTGTCACTTGATATGGCAATGCTCCATGAGTATGTATCATTATCTAGGATAGAGTAAAAGTAAAATTGCCATAGTCCCAGAGGACCATAAGGTTCCACTTTCATGTGACAGAGAGAGAGAGAGAGAGATTACCAGTGGTGAGTTTAACCTGAGGGTCATCATGCCTCCAGCAAAGGGTGAGGTTGAGAAGGCAGGACCTTCATGCAGAAATCAGCCATGACCTCAATGAATGGCAAAGCAGACTCAATGAGCTGAATGGCCTACTACTGTTCCTATATCTTATGGACACTCCAGCACTGAGTCAGTGCTGCACTGTCAGAGGTCCTGTCTTTCAGGTGAGGTGTTAAACTGAGACCTGAACTACCATTTCAATTGGACATAGATTTCATGGATCATTTGAAAGGCAGGCTGAACCTCTTAAAAGGGAAGCACACTCAGTGTTGTTGGCATTTAAATGACAGATAAATGAACAGCAGGACGCGCAGATGGTGAGAGGGTGGTGGAAATATCATTGGAGGCATTGGTGGTGGAGCTGGGCTGAGCTTCCAGGAATGGGAATGGAGGTGGGGAATGGGCTGTAGGAGTGTCCCAGAAAGGAGTGGAACAAGATTCTGGGCCGAGAGCCCATAAGCAACGTAAAAGAAATCAAATGATCTCACGTGCCTGGCCTAACCCTAAACCTACATCTACCTACTCCGAAACAACATCTCCAACTTCTCACACTGCTCAATGCATCTCACCCCAATCTCTCACCCACCAACACTTCTGGCCAATCAATCCTCACACAAAATTTTCAGATACCTCACCTCATCCTCCTATCGCCTCTCAAGACTTTCCATAATGGCATGGGTGATTAGTATGAGCCTGAACAAGTAGAAGTGACAGAGGCCGTTTCTCACAAATCCAGTGACAGTTCACTTGGTTTTAAGTCAGCTTTTGGGGCAAGACCCTGGATTGCAATATCACTTCACTGCTGTATTGAACACTCTCTTCCAACTTCTTCCATCAGGCAGAAGATACAGAAACTTGAACACACACACCAACAAGTTCAAGAACTGCTCCTTCCCTGCTGTTATTAGACTGATGAATGGACCTATCTATCTTCACCTGGACCATCTCTAATACCTCTCTCACCTTCCTGGACCTCTCTGTCTCCATGTCGGGCAACCACCTAGAAACCGATATCCATTTCAAGCCCACCAACTCCCACAGCTACCTAGAATACACCTCCTCCCACCCACCTTCCTGCATAAATGCCATCCCCTATTCCCAATTCCTTCACCTGCGCCGCATCTGCTCCCAGGATGAGGCATTCCACTCCCGTACATCTCAGATGTCCTCGTTTTTCAAGGACTGCAACGTCCCCCCCTCAGTGGTCGAGAACGCCCTCCACCGTGTCTCACTCATTTCCCGCAACTCATCCCTCACACCCCCTCCCCGCAATAACAACCAAAAAGAATCCCCCTCGTCCTCACGTACCACCCCACCAACCTCCGGATCCAATGCATTATCCTCTGACACTTCCGCCATCTGCAATCCGACCCCACCACCAAAGACATTTTTCCCTTCCCACCCTTATCTGCTTTCCGGAGGGACCACTCTCTCCGTGACTTCCTTGTCCGCTCCACACTCCCCTCCAGCCCCACCACACCCGGCACTTTTCCCTGCAACCGCAGGAAGTGCTACACCTGCCCCCATACCTCCTCCCTCACCCCCATCCCAGGCCCCAAAAAGACTTTCCACATCAAGCAGATGTTCACCTGCACATCTGCTAATGTGCTATACTGCATCCGCTGTACCCGTTGTGGCCTCCTCTACATCGGGGAAACCAAGCGGAGGCTCGGGGACCGCTTTGCAGAACACCTACGCTCGGTTCGCAATAAACAACTGCACCTCCCATTCGCAAACCATTTCAACTCCCCCTCCCATTTCCTCAGACGACATGTCCATCCTGGGCCTCCTGCAGTGCCACAACGATGCCACCCGAAGGTTGCAGGAACAGCAACTCATATTCCGCTTGGGAACCCTGCAGCCCAATGGTATCAATGTGGATTTCACAAGCTTCAAAATCTCCCCTCCCCCTACCGCATCCCAAAACCAGCCCAGCTCGTCCCCGCCTCCCTAACCTGTTCTTCCTCCCACCTCAAGCCGCACTCCCATCTCCTACCTACTAATCTCATCCCGCCCCCTTGACCTGTCCGTCCTCCCTGGACTGACCTATCTCCTCCTTACCTTCCCACCTACACTCACCTTTACAGGCTCCATCCCCACCTCTTTGACCTGACTGTTTCCTCTCCACCTATCTTCTCTATCCATCTTCTATCCGCCTCCCCCTCTCTCCCTATTTATTTCAGAACCCTCTTCCCCTCCCCTACCCCCATTTCTGATGAAGGGTCTAGGCCCAAAATGTCAGCCTTCCTGCTCCTATGATGCTGCTTGGCCTATTGTGTTCATCCAGCTCTACACCATGTTATCTCTATCTTCAAGTAATGTTGATCTTGCTATGAGTACGCTCTGTGCTGGCGTGACCTTATATGCCTGGCTCTGTACAAGCACCCTATGATCTGTATGTCCTTATTTGCTTTGATCTGCCCGTACCTGCTCACAAAACTTTTCCCTGTAGTTAGGTACACGTGACTACAATAAGTCAAATCAAACTTTTAAACCGGAGAGAACTGCTGTTTTGAAATTGTGCCTTATGGGGATCCATCAAGACTATCTGACAGTGCAGGTGGAGGGCTCAGTTTAAAGGGCCCGGAGGCACCTTGCAGAACACTACACTGAAGTCTCAGCCTTGATTTTGGGATCAAGACATGGGGTTATGGAGGGAGGCCGGATCACTTTGTTATTCCTGACTGAAGAGTGCCAGCGACCGAGGCGAGGCTGAAACTCCAACTGTAGGCCCGGAGACTCCGTAAATCGTTGTGAAAAGAATGCAGACAATGGAAGCACTTGAATTTGAACCTAAAACGAAACCAACCGACCCAATCCATGAAGAATCCGAGCTAGGAACTGGCGTCCCTTTTTGGGGCAAAAAAAACAAAACAGAAGAGATCTAACGAGCGAACTCACCTTAAACTCGCCTACAGATCGACGCAGCGTGCGGTCCAGCTCGTCGGACGAGACCCGCACGTAGGTGCAGTCGACGAAATCGCAGTCCACGTCTTCGGTGCCCACCGTGCCGATGGAGTAGGTGCCCTCCTTCTTGTAGTGGAACTTGCCCGAGCTCCTGTGCAGGAGCACGGTGTGGAGCACGGCGAGGACGGTCTCCTCGATCTGCCTGGCTTCCACGGTGAGCTCCAGGATCTGCGACCTGCAGTTCATGGTGGCCCGCAGGACAAGCCGCTCTGTCTGTGTGTGTGTGTGTGTGACCCCGTGTGTATCCTTCTGGTGAGGATCGAAGACTGATGGAACCCCGGGGAAACAATGTAACCATTCAACAATGCAAAGGGAACGCCGTCAGTTTCTGCTACAATGTAAACATTCCATCGGATGACATCATCCGCTCTGGAGGGGGAGGGGAGTGAGAGGGAGACGCACTGACTACAGCATCCTGCCTGGGACAATATATGCCCCACGAAACGAACTGCTTCTGCGATTCTACGCAGCACCGCGGCCAGTGCAGAAGGAGGGCCGTTCGGCCCGTCCTGCCCCGTCTCCCCAAATGAGCGTCTCACTCGGCGCTATTGTAACCCTGCACACTGATTCGTCTTCATCCGTTCCACAGACAAAATTAACATAAGCTCGCATTCACGGGAACACAAACCAAAGTTCTGGTTCTGGAGAATGGTCACTGAATTCAAAACTTCAACTCTGAATTCTCTCCACGGATGCTGCCAAGCCTGCTGATTCTCTCCAGCAATTTCTATTTTTGTTTCAGATCTTCAGCACTTGCTGTTTGTTTTGTTTTTGTATTCAGTGGAATTTATAACAGCGAGAAGAAGCGACTTCATTGAAAAATATAACAGGGAGAGGATGCTTCACACAATTATGAGTCTTTTTTACAGTATAGGTAAAGGCCCTTCGGCCCATCGTATCAGAAAGAAAAAATGGCAAAACTTGTGAATGTAGTATACTGGTCCACCTTATTTTCTGTACCTCGGAAGTGTTCCAGTATGACCAGTTCATTTCCAGGTATTACTGATTTTTAAACTTATTTTTCTCTTTGGATGGTGATCAAACATTCATCTATTCCATTCCAATTTTTAAACACATGGGCCATCTGAATAGTTCATAAACGCCCTGAAGATTCCCAACTTTACCAGCCTTTTAGGCAGTGAATTCCAGACACCCACAACCCTCTGAGTGAACTTTTCACCCCCTCAAAATCTCCTAGTTCAAGAGAGTCAGGGTGCAGAGGTGAGTGTAGTGCCCATCAGTAGGGATAAGACATCTGAAGGAGATGGTTCTGGAGTTTGTAGAGGCATTGATGGTGATCTTTCAGGAATCACTGGAATCAGGGAGGGTTCCAGTAGACTGGAATATGGCTAATGTAACACCATTGTTAAAGAAGGGAGGGAGGCAAAGGACAGGAAACTGTAAGCCAGTTAGCCTGACCTCGGTTGTGGGTAAGCTTTTACAGACCATTATTAAGAGTGATATTGCTGAGTACTTGGAAGTGCATGGTAAAATAGGGCTGAGTCAACACACTTTGTCAAAGGGCTGTCATGCCTGACAAATCTGTTCAAATTCTTTGAGGAGGTAATGAGCAAGTTAGAGAAAGAAGGAGCAGTGGATTGATCTGTTTGGATTTCCAGATGGCCTTTGACAAGGTGCTGCACAGGAGGCTGCAAAATAAGATAAGAGCGCATGGTGTTAGGGACAAAGTATTGCCATGGATAAAGAATTGGCTGACTGGCAGAAAGCAGAGACAGGAGATAAATGGGGTCTTTTTATCAGGATGGCAATCGGTGACTAGTGGAGTTCAACGGAGTTTGTGTTGGGGCCACAATTATTCATGTTATACATTAAAGATCTGGACAAAGGAACTGAAGTCATTATTGCTCAGTTTGCAGATGACACAAAGATAGGTGGAGGGATAGGTAGTGTTGAGGAAGCAGCGAGGCTGCAGAGGGACTGGGACAGGCTAGGAAAGTAGGCAAAGAAGTGGCAGATACAATACTATGTGGGAAAGTGTGAGGTTATGCACTTTGGTAGGAGGAATGGAGGTGTAGACTATTTTCTAAATGGGAAAGGTTTCAAAAAGGTTTCTGAAGAACAATGGGACTTGTTCCCTCGTCCAGGATTCTCTTAAGGTTAAAATGCAGGTTCAGTTGGCAGTTAGGGAGGCAGATGCAATGTTAGCATTAATTTCAAGAGGACTAGATTACAAGAGCAGAAATGTACTGCTGAAGCTGTATAAGGCTCTGGTCAGACCACATTTGGAATATTGTGAGCAGTTTTGGGCCCTGTATCTCAGGAAGGATGTGCTGGCATTGGAGGGGGTCGACAGGAGGTTTACAAGATTGATTCCAGGGATGAAGGGCTCGTCATATGTGGAGCAGTTGAGGACTCTGGGTCTGCACTCAATGAAGTTTAGAAGGATGAGGGGGGTTCTGATTGAAACTTACAGAATACTGAGAGGCCTGGATGGAGTAGATGTGGAGAAGATGTTTCCACTCGCAAAGTTTTTAAAAGTTTTATTCCAGAGATAGAGAAATATATTTGCTTAATCATATCACTACAACACATGGCATGTGATTAGTGACACTTAACCTTTAAGAATGATAATATAAACAGCATAAGAGCAAGCTACACCGATTGCCAAGGCTCTGTGTCATGACTTCTGAGGATGATGTTTAGAAACAAATGATCATTTGTACAATGTCAAATCAAATCTTTCAAGTATACCTCACAACAGTTCACATTTTGATGTACAAGCGCCATTTTTATCCAGACAAACACAATGTAATGTTTTTGATGGTATTGACCTTAGAAAATCTCTGTTTTTCTCTGAGTATTACCTTTGGATCGTTAACTTACAGTAGAAATAACAGATTATTGAATCACAGAGTGGCTACAGGACAGAAGGAGGGCACTTAGTCCATTGTGTCTGTACTACTGCTCTGAAGGAGCAAGTCGTCAAGTGCCACTTCCTAACCTGCTCTCTGTGGCCCTATGCAATCTTCTTTTTCACCTAAGGTCTAATTCCCTATTGAATTGCTCAACTGAACTTGCTTCGACCACACTTTCAGGCAATGCATTCCAGCTTCAAAGCGGTTGTTGTGTCTCATGTCTTGATTGCTTTTCTCCCCCAAATCACTTTAAGTCTGTACCCCTTTGTTCTTGATACTTTGACCAATGGGAGCCTTATTTCCCTCTTTCATTCTGCCCAAACTCCTCATGATTTTTCTATACCTATATCAAATCTATTTGACAATTCATTGCTATAATATCTTATGATATACAGACAAATACCTCGCAGACACATCAGATGGACTGATAGACAGGCAAAGGTGGATAAGGAAATAAACATATTGGGAGGAGAGATCAACATCCACAGATAAATAAATGGATTGGCAGATTAATGCATAGACACATAAAACAGGAGACAGACCAACAAACCGAGTTAAACTGATATGAAGATAAATACATAAAAAGACTAAACTTCACGGTATCTGCATTTACCTAATTCTAGCCTCTTGAGCATCCCTTATATAAGTCACTCCGTTTTTGGTGGTTATTCTTTCAGCTACTTAGGCCTTAAACCGAAATCTCTCCACATTTTTTTTTGCTTCCTTTAAGATTTGCATTAAAATGTTCCTTTTTGCAATCTTTTATTACACTAAAGGTGCTATATGAATGCAAGTAGTTGTTAATAGGTAGACTGATAAAATGTATTGATAGACATATGAATAGACAGATAAGTAAAAAAGTAGAAAATGACTGTTATACAGAGTGACAGTAAAAGATAGAGATGGATAAGTTTGGAGAAAGAGGATAGGCAGAGAGATCGAGACAAATAAAGACAGATATATAAATAGAGAGACATAGAGATAAAGGTGGATAGAGTGAGATAGATAAGTAAAAAGAAGATAGAGGATTTAGAGAAAATAGTTAAATAGAAATACAGATATATAGACAGAAATAGACAAAGAGATACAAGTAGAATGTAATAGAGAGCATTTGATGGCTAGAGATGGAAAAACAGCCAGAGATAGAGTGAGAAAAATAGATAAAGAGACAGAGTGGGACAGAGATAGGTATCAAGAAATAAACAAAGATAGAAGAGTAGAATGAGATGGAGAGAAATAAACAGGTACAGAAAAAGAGAATTATAGATATAGCGAGGACAGAAAGGGAAAGAGAAACAGAAATAGAGAGGAATCGATAAAGAGATTGATAGGTTAAAAAGATAAATAAAGGGAGAGATAAATATGGAGGGAGATAGAAAGAGGTAGAAAAGTAGAGAAAAATAGAGAGATAAAGAAACAGATAGTTAAATAGACAGGGAGAGATAAATAGAGAGGGTGAGATAGAGAGAGGGAGAGGGAGAAAGAGCTAGATAAATAGAGAGCCAAACAAATAAATGTAGATAAATAAAGAGAGAAATAGATGGAGAGTGATGGGCAGGGACAGAGTGAGATTGCATGGTTTGGGCAGTGGAAAGTTGGTTCTGGGTCAGTGCTGCTTTAAGAAGTTCTGGGGAGGGGTTTGGATGGACTCCGCCCCTCAGTAAATGCCTGGAGAGTGGACTCGGAGCTGGAGCTGGGAGTGGGGATGTGGAGGCAGCAGGTTGGCTGCTTGTCTCTGTCTCTCTGCACTGTGGGTTGAGCACTGTAAGTGTGCTCCGGGGCCCTGGCCTGCTCACTGTGTGGTCGGATGCGGTCAGTAATTGTGACCGGGGATTGAGCTGTGTGGTGTAGGCCTCTGCCCTTTCACAAGGAGAATGGAGTTAATAAGAAAGTGAAACCCACATCAAGGAATCGAACTCTGTGCTTTTAAAAATAATAACTTTCTTTTGTGATTAGTTGAGCTACTTATTTTTCAGAGGTTTGACCCTGTTTTGTTCAATTTTTAAAGACATGCCTCCAATTTGGCAAAATATTTTTAAAATGTGCAGTATCTGATATAGATCCATAGGTGTGTATACTCTGTCTTGCTGCCTGGCATGTCTGATTTGGCTGTTGGGATGGAGCCCAGTTTCTTGGATGGGCTGAAATGGGTCGGGCTGTTTGCTTTATTTGTGGCCTCAGTCCTCACATTGGTGATGTATGGCCTTCACTGGGTCTCAGGGCCTTCCTGGGGCAAGGGTAAGACCATCCCCAAAGCTGGGGCTACAGCAGGTGCTCCTCTGAGTGATCTCTGTGAAGGGGCAGCTGGCCTCCTCTCCTGGGTGCTGTCCTTGGAAAGCTGGAACCGTGAGTGGAAGAAGGCCTGGCTCACTGCTCTCAATGAGGCAGTTGCAAAGCATGGGGTGAGTTCATGTCTCTGCGCTTAACCTGATTTACTTGCTGAGGATAGGGTTGGTGAAGCTGGTTGACCAGTATCTGATGGAGAAAGATGGACACTTGGGTGTATGAGTGTAATGAATTTTGATTTAAGTACGGTGAAACTATAATGACGTGGAAGAGTTTGTAGAAATGAGTATTTTGAACTTGGTATGCACTTAATCATTCCTGGGATATGTGATTTCACATTTGAACACAGTAAATGGTGTGCTCGACTGTTTGAGGGTAGTTAAGAGCCAAACACATTTGGAGTTGCTCATACAGCAGACTGGGTAAGATTGACAGATTTTCTTCCCTAATTGATGCTTGTGAGCTAGGTAGCTATCTTTATTGCAATTTATTTTTATTTATTCATTCATAGAATGAGTATCTCACTGGCTAGGCCAGCATTTATTGCCCAGAGGACAATTAAGAGTTAACCATGTTGCTGTGGGTCTGGAGTCATGTGTAGGCCAGACCAGGTAAGGATGGCACTTTCACTGGATTCATTGTCATCATTAGACTTTCAGTTCATTTTATTGAATTCAAA